TTCTGACCTTCACCATTTCTCATCAGCATCCACTGTTTTACTGCCTATTTTAGAGGCGGTTCAGATTGATAATTTATTTTTGGTGAGGGCTCAGTATTATCATACACTTTTAACACTCTTAAGCATGAATATCATTAGTTCCACGTTTATTCTAGTATTTTGAACTCCCGTGTTATGTCCTCTAAATTGCCTTGATCAATCTAGGACAGAAAACAGTAAATACGCTCGTTCCACAATCATTTCATAGAGTCGTGTACATTATCGTCTCGTTTCGTCTTGCATTACAAAGGCCTGAATGCTAAAGCCTCTCGTTTTCAGGTTAGGCAGGTGTCCCTAGAATCATCGGGTAGAAGTCCACCGTACATTTTACAAGAGATATCAGTCGCCTAATAAATTAGGTCATGTGGATTGAGCACAACTCCTAATATGTACATTACTAAGACTGAGTAAACCGACTTTTTAATTAATATCTTAACCCTGTCACGCCTAGTGTAGCACAAACCAACAATCAAGATTTCTCAAACAAATCCGTCCTGACCAATCTTTCCTAGTGGTTTTGAAGTGCCTCCACTTCATGGAGTATTATTTTTTGGTTTGCTTCCTTTGCTGTTGTATTTAAGATTCCAAGTTAAAGCTTATCTTATTATGAAATATTTATCCTATCCACTTTCAGCGTTTTCCTCTCATTTCCACTTCAGTTGGAAGCTAATCTGTCTTCTCCTGCAGTAGGCTGTCGCCGGTGGTATCCAGTTATCGGACATTGAGTATCTTCTGTAGACAATTGTTTATAAATAAATGCGCTTTTTTGAAGATGGTTGTAGTGGTTCTTCAAGTTTCAGCATCCTACAGTAGAAATATCTTGACGTTCGTACTGAAGATCCTGAATTTGATATTGGTTGACAGTTGTTTTGAGTCCCATATGTTCTTAAAGTGTAGGAATGCTGCTTTTGTTTCGGCAATCCTTGCCTTTATATCTGCATCGGATCCACCTTGTTCGTCGATGATGCTGTCAAGGCAGATACCTGGAAGTTTCCACCTCTCCCAGAGTTTCTCCATCAAGTGTGATTGGATTGGTGTACTCTGTGTTGTGTTTGAGGGTTCTTGTTTTGCCCTTATATATATGCTGAAGCAGTTTGCTGCTATATTTGTTGTCTTGACCTGCATTTGTTGATGTGTATGGGATAGAATGACCAGGTCATCTGCGAAGACCAGATCGTCTATTTGCATGCAAGCCATCCATTGTATTCCGTGCTTCCCCTCAGATATACGCGTCTTCATAATCCTGTCGACCACCATAAGAGAAAAGAGAGAGAGGGAGTTAGCAAAGTTGTCTAACACCGGTATTCACTTGGATTAAATCTGTCAGCGGACCTCGATACACGAATGTGCATTGTGGTTCGTCGTAAAGACTCCGGATGATGTTGATGACCTCAGCTACTCACTCTATAGTGTCGAAGAAGTTTTCATAAGTTTCTTCTATCCATACTGTCAAACGCCTTCTCATGTTCAATGGAGTTGAGATTTAGCAGCGAGTTCCATCCCATTGATTGTTCAGCGATGATTTGTGGTAACGCCATTTGGTCTGTACACGACCAGTCCTTTCGGAATACAGCCTGTTGATCTGGAAGTTGGGTGTCTACTGCGTATTTCAACTGCTTCAGCAGCACTGCTGAAAAGTTTTCATTTCACCGACAGTAGTGTGATGTTTATATAATATTTTTTCGGCATCTTGATGGTATATCCTCCTTTCTGGGCTTTTGGTACTTGATTTTGTTACTAAATCCTTCTAAAATAGAAAGTTGAGCATCTTTGTGGTCACCTTTGTGTCTGAATCCAGTGTTTCAGCGGTATGTTTTCTGGTTCATCTCGCCCTTCTTTCTTGGAGTGTTTGACTATCTTTTTCGTTTCGATTATTGCCGGTGGGCTAACAGCTGCAAAGGTCTGTATAATTATGACCTGACTCGGTGTGAGTACATTTATCCTTTCTAGTTTAGCGATAAGTCTATTCCTAAGATTGTAGATATGTCAATATATGACTACCTAATCTATAAGATCTTACGTGGAATTTATATCATAGTCTTCACTGACTCGTCGTATTGTGACAGTCAGAAATACAACTATTTTGTCCTTTTGGGGGATTCATTACGGCTCATGATGTTGCGGACTAGGTACGAAAACGAATTAACTACTCTAATACAATCAGTTTTCTTCGGAACTGACTACAGTAAATTATATTCAACACGTCAAGCCTCAACGGCTAAGACAGGCAGGAGACGGAATTGCAGGTAACTTGATGTTTGTTGTAGAACAAGCAACTCAAAAGAAATTAGTGAAAAAGTTGTTACGATAGTTGCAGAATATGACCCGTGGGTATATGTCAATTTAGCGGACTAAAAAAGCATGACAACTAACCAGAGAGCAAAGATCATGCAGAAAATCGAATTGGCAGAAAGTGTGCGAGCGGTTATCGTTCCTGAGGAGACTATTCTTGCGACTACCTTATCACCTCGTTATTTTTGAAGTTCTTTCACTGTTTCTAAATTTGACGGTCTTCGTTTGCCGTCGTTTACTTCTTCGTGGTAATAACTTTTATGCAGATTCATGTGATACTGCTTCTGTTCCGAGTTGTATCATTTCTGGAATTATTGAAACGTCTAGGATGGTATCTAGGCTGTTCTGTTTTCTTATGGTGATCATCCTTGGGTCTTCTACGTTGCTGAAGGGATGGTAAAACCAGATTTTTTTACGTATTTAGTTCTGTTACCATTTCCATTTGTCATTAATACCCACAATCTGCACAATTATCATTATTACTTGTAAAACTGTCGTTTAAAAAGCATGACATTTGACTTTCCGTTTCGGTTTGTCAACACACATAACATGATCCATTGTTTATCCCTCACAAATACACTGCTGCACATATAGGCTGTTCTAGTTTCTGGTCAGACCGATCTATTCATTATTCCCAAACCACATTTGCACCTTGTCACTTACTGAATTATAAACCCTGACTACTTTTATATGATCGTATGTGTGTTGATTGCTTATCCTATTCGTTACATGTCTGTAATTTATTTTCGCACTGATTATAAATATTGAGTAAGGCTTGATAAATTTGGCTTTTCTCACATAACTTGTCCGATTCGTTTCGTTTCGCTCTCTCTCCTTCAATTCCTTGGCTGCATTTCCGTGATTATCTGTTCCGATCAACGATTGTGCGAAATGTACTTATTCAAACTCCATTCGCGTCCATTTTTGGTTAGTATGCGTAACTATGTGTTTAATATGAAATCGTTTAAGTACTTTCTTCTGTAATTTTTGTGGTATCACCACGCCTTCCCCAGATATAAGGCATTCTCCGACTGAGCACATAGATTGCTTCCATTGAAATAGGTGTAGTGACCTACTTTTATCAAGAGAACGCGATTGGTGTAATGGAAACAATTATTATAACCAATTGTACCAGTGACTGTTTTACCGTACTTGTTTGTTCAACTTTACTAAAGACATTCTTCCTTTCGTTGATTGTGACCTTGCACGAACTAACGTTTGCTCAGTAGTTCCGGTTGTACTCCTTTGGCACGATCTCGGTATTCTTTCAATACCACGAGATCGCCAACAAATATATCTCGCCACAACCCTCAATCGTCTTCGGATTTCTGGTTTACTCGGAGGTTTAGCCTGTTCTGGTACACAATCTTCTTGTAGTGGTGATCATAGTCAAAAGTGACTCGACGCCACACTGGATAGATGTTTTAATTCTTCATCTAAAGACAATGGCCATTTATTTTGAAGGAAATGAATTGCCCGTTGAACCGTCGAGTCTAATTTTGTGGCATATGCTACTTGGTAAGTAGTGGTTGATTAAATAATGCTCACTTTTCATTCAGGGATGGCAAAAATGCGGAGTAATAACTAATAAGTCTGATGAACAAGCGTAGGGTCTGTAGGTTGTGTGATGTCTAGGAGATCGGCTAGAATAGCATCAACCAATTTGTCAGTAATGTTGTTGTACGTGTAACTTTGAAATTTTTAGGCTCATAAAATCTTACGAGGATATTACCAAAGTACACTCACTATAAGTTTTACCAACTTCTGAAGCAATTAAACAAACTCTCACTTAAAACTGCCTTTATCCATTAACGGAAAATAATTCTCTCATCCTTCGTTCTCTGTTCCATGCTGCTGATAATTCCTACTCATGTGGCGGTCATTTAGATGCAGATAAAAGCATCACGTTTATCATATAAACCACCAATCATAAAAAGGTTGGAGTTACTAACACCATTGAGACACAGCACACCTGCCATCATACATCTAACTTCTATGGAGAGAGTTTAATCTTACCAATCGACCAAACTGATAACCTCCTTCAGTTGATGTACGTGTCACTAACGCGTGTACCAGGAAAACCGAAAACTGACAATCATTCTGCAGATCAGTCTAGTTGAGCGAATTACTAGAACCTGGAAGACTCTTAGCATTGGTTACAAACGAAAGAACACCGAACTGGTTACCAGAATTTCCTTGAGGAACATACTTGGGCGGAAATCCGGCAATGAATGTCATACAGAACCAGGAAGTTAAGTATCGTGTCCACCCATTAAAGATTAAAGTCTATGACCTAAATTCTTGGTTCTATCAAACCAGTCCTTACATGTGTGTAGTATTTCCTAGATACATTTAGATTACGAAAGTTGAACGAGCGGATTTTGATACAGCTAAACAATTTCATTAGCGTCAACAGGTCAAACCCATTAACGAAAATAAATTACTGAATGAAGATCTAACTATAAAGACTGAAATCCGGAGAAAACGTGTTTGTTTACGGCCAATACGGAGTAATAATCTTAGACCTAACAAGAGTCGATACACTTCCAGTATAGATAGTATCAGTGGTTATGCTAGCAACGCTTACGTACATCAGGAGATAGCACAACAATTGTCCACATTTGTGATAAAATTCGGCTGTTATCATAACAATCACAACCAGTACTATGTAAAACTTCGAATCCCATATTTATTTATGGTTTCAGAAATATCAAATCAAATTTTTTGTCTACATATTTATGAATTTGAATAGCTAATATTTATCTTAGAATTGTCGATAAAAAGAAAAACTCTCATGTGGGAGAACGATTTTATTGATTTCGTTAGCTTAGTGCAGTGATTAGATAGGCTACTATATATAAACGCCTAAAATCGTATTGTTTAGATTGAAAGAGGGTGAGTGGGGGGAGGGAAGATGACAGTAAAGAAGTTGGTGCAGGTAGTAACGAATAATAAAAGCATATTTTGCAGAAGTGAAGTATTGCAAATTGAATATAACATAATAGTACTCTCTAGAGCACAGATTTGAAGATATAATTTTAATTTTTTGAACAGGTTAATAATATCTTTACGACCAGTCTCGTTTTCTGAAAATGAAGATAATGGTAATGAATATCCTGACTGCATGTTATTAATAACCAGTGAGTTCTGCGAAAGTTTGATCCAGTTCACCGCTAAGAGCTTTGTATCGTTCTTTCTCAGCCAGTAAGTCATCTAAATTGGGAAAAAGTTTTAGCATAGAAAAGGATGATAGATTAATTTTTGTGCTGATATTCCTAAACTATTCATATGAAACCAGCTTAAACCTTATCGGATTGTCAAATTGGAAGGGTAATCCTTATTCCATAAGGAATTCAAAAATAGAGGTATCCTCCACAGCCGATCTGTAATGTATACAAGGGTACCCTATTAATTGTACTGAAAGTATTTGCACGAAAGTAGAAAATACTCATTTCATCTGGTAAATGTCTCCATGTGACTCGTATACCAAGCTCAACATTATGTAATTGATTTTGAGTCACATTATTTATGGAAGCTGGTGATACTATTCGGCTATTGAAAGTGATATAGGCGGGGCGAAGTTCATGATCATACTCATATTTCAACAGAACACAAAATTAAAACACTTAAATTTATTAAACATTAAACAAACAAATAAACAACATGATGCTTTAAAAGTAAAATATAAATAAGCAAAATGCACACAAAAACTAGGACAAATTGAGCATTCACAAGAGTATAAACTGTGGAAGAAAAAAAAGCCCAAACCAAGAATTGAACAAAAAAAATAATAAAGTAACAATGGACAAACTACATGCGTATTAATGATTCATATTTGATTTAGTTCAATTATATTATTCATGACAAAAGCAGCTTGATAAATAAAATGAATAAACAAGCCGAACAATACAACTATGTGCATACAATACATGCAATTTTGTATTCAGGTTGTGAAATGTTGATGTAAACAGAAAGTAAGCTGAATAAATTAGATCGAATGAAATTCATTGATCATTGTATCCATTTCTTTGCGTAATGTTTCATACATAGTACGTTCCGTAATTATACGTTCTAAACAAGAAGACAAATTTATTGAGATTAATTATTGAAAATCTTATTAATGTAAGATATATATTTATACGAAAATACAATATGTTTAACAGAAATTGTATAGGCACCTCAATTTGTAGTTCAATTGTACGGTATGGCGTTATCAGCTTACACTGTAACTTCATCGTAAATGTAGATAATCAGGTCAATCTAACACAATAATCAATGGAAAAGTGAATCTACATAAAGATAACATGATGGTAAATAACTGGTAGAATACACAGTACACTCAAAGAATTTAACAACAATTAGTTCTAAAAGGAAATTTCTAAACCATGTAGGTACAGTAAGACTCAAACGTTTCAAAAACTTGCATCCACAACATCTGATTTTTCAAGACATCAAAATCTACCTAAACATGGATACATTATTATGAGTCGACTCTAACCTTACTAAGGAGTACAGTGTAATTTATTTTTGCGTTATGATTTTGAAATGCATAGCTTAAGACAGTCATAACAACTACTTTGACAGATAATCTTCGTCTTCTTATCACACTATTGAAATTTATCAAAGGCACTAATTGCTTTAGATATATAACAGTTATGAAATTGTTCTCAAAATAAGTTTGACACAATCGTTTAAATTTATCCATATGATTAAATTCAACTCATTCACAATAGAGGTGAATAAATTTCTTGGTTTAACTGAAGTGAATTCCAAAAATTTGACATAATATAAAAGCATTGAATAACATCAACTCCGCCTGGAGTCCCTCCGGGGGCTACTGCCGGTCTCAAGCCCGGATAAAGAAGGAGGGTTGGGCATAGGGTTAGCGACCCCATCCGGTAGAAAACTAACTCGCTAAAAAAACGCTAACCAGAAAAAATTATTCAAGTAATTGGATAACATCATAATGTAACTATTCTGTCAAGGTCAAGTGACAAATTATAATGTATATGTGTATTAAACAGTTCATCATATTTGTACCTTTTCAGTGTTTGTTCACTGACTATAATTAACCAGTGACAATGAGTGAATATTTCTGCTAGGTGAAATATAATGAATAGTGAAAATCGGTTTTTGAATATTGTGCTATCGGAATGTATAATTTTTTAATTTTTACCTAATATTAGATATATATTCTTTGAAATCCACTTCTTTACTGACTTTAGTATTTGGCATTGCTTGTTATCAAATCCAGCTTACTGTGTTATTTGAATTAGTAGTAACTGGGATCAAGTGAATGCTGATTAAGGGTTAAATATTGTTACGTTCACCTAATTAGAGAAATTTTAATGGAATAGAATTTGATCGATAAAGTTGCAATATGACCACTAGACTGGGTGACTCGACATTGCATAGACTATGTTGAAATGTAAGGTGGTGGTTGAAGGTATTCCATGTCAAGTCATCTAGACTAGTGGCCACATTTCAACTTGGTCGATAGAATTTGATCTGCACTAGGAAGGACATGAAAAACGTGAAATTGGTTACTACTCAGTGATCAATCAATTGTAAATATATACCACTCTTACAGAAGGTCAGTCGCAACTCGAGTATCTCAGTGGTAACATCCCTGACTGTGAAGCTGGGTGACGCAGAATCGAGTTCGTCAGGGAGTATCAGTTCCCTCAAGATTAAAGGTACACCTTGATGACATAACAGTGTCCTGACGACTAGTTTTAATCACCACTTTACACAGATATTCGTTGTGTCGTGGAATTACTACTGTCAACTATGATGGCAAACACTGACAAATGAACCACATGACCAGTCAATGAGGAAGAAACATACATCTGGAATGAAGTTTAAAGTATCCAGATAAAAACAGCTAACACCGTAATAAATATATTTCAAAAATGTCAATCCATATTATTTATTAAATCAAAATATCAGAAATATCATATTAATCACCTTTTGCTTTCTTTATTTCCATAAGACGTCGATTAACTTCCGCTTCAGCAGTATCAGCTCGAAATTCAGCCTGAATATTATTATTTCATGGTAATGAGAGAAACGAGTAATACGAAGAAGCATAGACAAATAGAATGATAAATGGAGGTCAAACAAAAAACAAAGGATAAGAGTTAAAAAAAAACATGCCAGAGCATTCAAATAAATATCTATGATCAAGATACTTCTAACCAATGTTTCAATGCACAATCCTATAATCTATACATAAGTACAGGCATGTTTTATTATCATAGTTAAGATGGAAATAGGAAAAAAATTCCCACCTTCCAAATGATCAACCTCATTTTGTAGTTTAGATACTTGACGTTCAGCTTCAGTTGCTCTTTGCTCAGCCTATTTATAATACATATAGATTAACAAAAGTTAGTTAATTCAATAGTTTATCTCATGATTATTTCTTGTCGTAAGAAAATTGATGCAACACTGACATTCGATAGCTAAAGGGGAGCAAGTAACCATTGAGTATAATTATTCTATTTCATGCAAATGTAGATTCTTCAAAATAAAATACACATGCAAAAATAGAAAACAAGTCTTCTTGTGAATAGAATTAATCATATCTGAATATTGATTGATCGTAAAAGAAGTTATTGTTGTCAACAGCAATCTAACGTTATAATACATGAAATCATGAGTTCAATTAACGTTGTAAACACAATAACATTATTGGAAAGTGATATATAAGCCAAATCACAGGCTTATGGATTCGTTGTAAGAAAATGAACTAATATCAATGTTTATGTTTTTCAGAAGGGGTTTTATGGAGATTTTAGTAATTTCAATAGTTGAAATCTCCTTCCCTAAAATAACCGGACTAACTATTAAGTTATTATATGATATGTTTAACGAACAAGTCAGTCATAGTTATAGTTAACATATAGCTTGGGATAATATGTACGAATAAAAGAATCAATCATTTGAGTATATTAGTTTAATTTCACACACATAGTTCCCTTAATTATCTTGAAGAGAACAAAAACAATGACTGATACAGAATAATATGAGTTCATTTTATTTTGTTAAGTCCTCATCAGTTGTTTACAACCTATAATATTTTGAAATCAACATGAGATTTGCATTTAATAAATGAGTCCTAATTTAATTCCTTCAATCTATGCAGTTCACTTAGTAGCGATCAGTGTTTTCACACAATCCCAATCTTGGATAGGATTACATTTACCTTCATCGGTCAGTCTGTCGTTGAAAGGCGTACATAAACCTTGTGAAGGCTCTTTACTCGAACACTACTAGTCGAGTCAGAGCTTATGGCGAAATCTCAGCACGGATTCAAAAAGCTCGTTTGGCTTTCGCCAATTTACGTCACCTATGGCGAGATATTCGTCTGTCAATTAAGAGACGAGTATACTGCGCGGCAGTTCGTTCCGTTTTACTTTACGGCTGCGAAACATGGCTATCAAGAGTTGAAGATACTCGCAAGCTACTAGTATTTGACCACAGATGCCTTAGAAATATTGCTCGCATCTGCTGGGATCACCGGGTAAGTAATAGTAAGGTACTATATCTTTATATACAATCTTTCTTTTATATATCACCACCACTGACTTAACTACTTCTATGAATCCGGTGTTCATCTTGCTGTGCTAATGTGGTATGGCAACTTGAACCGATGCATATATGTATGCCTGGTCCTACGTTGTAGCTGACTGACTGACTAAATAGTTATGTTGTAATATTTATCCAAATCCGCGATAATGACAGATACAAAGAATTGAACCACAACAATGTAACACAAATCCTTCCGTGTTTCTAGGGTAATCTTTATCTTCATAATTAAAAAGATAATTAGAAAATAAAGATTTCTATTAGATTATGAAATAGACAACAGACTTCCTTCATTTGACTGACAGAATCCAACGATATTTATTTATTGCTGAAAAAACATGATACACATATGTTTTTCCCATTATAAATAAGTCAACTTACCTCTTTAACATGATGAGTTAAAACACTTAAACGTTCTTCCAAATCTTTTTCAATTTCAGCAGACTAAAATACGCCATGCATAATCGATGAATATTTCAAATGCATGCAATTTTAGACAAAATAGATGTATGTATCGACCGAAAGAGAAACAAAATGTAGATAAATGAGTTTGTCATGGCAAAATGGAGTTTTAAAAATAATTTGTAATGATTTATAGTGTAATATCGAGGCATACGCACAGTATGCACATATGCCAATAACAAACTGATCAATTGCAGTCTTAAACTTCAATGGGAAGATACAAGCCAAACAATACCAAGTGAATTTATAGTGTACGTCTACATTTATAATAATAATTATATTCAGACTAGAAATGTTACATTCTAAGGATGAACTAAGCCCAGTATGAAAAGTAGATCAAACTACTAGTCCGGTAGAATGTAAAAAAAACGAAACAGATTTTGTCTATGCAAAGATGTGTGTTTGTACTTATTTAAGAAATGTTAAGTAAATAAACAGGAAGTGAATAAAGGTCAGTTAGTTAGTACTAAGGTCATTCTCTGTGAGAATAAGTGGAACAATCATTCAGTAGTAAAAATCGATGGCGAACAATGCAATGTAGAAAAATATGAAAACACATGCAAAACCAATATGCACACATATATATTCCTACGAACAAACGATTAAATGCCAAATAATAAATTCATCATAACCAAACACACACACACACAAACTAAACAAGGCTTACAGCCTTCAATCGTTCTGTTAAATCTCGGATTGTTTCTTCATAGCTTTCTTCACGTTGGGCTGACTAGATGACAGAAAACAGTAAGTCATTTTTCCGAATAGAAAACAAGACAACAGTAACAAATATAAACATTTGATCAGGTAAAAACTGTCATCAATAGATAAGAACAAGAACAGTAGTCAGTCAATATCATTTTATTTGTTTACCAGTACTAACTGAGTTCTGTTGATCGAATTTTCAATATGGTCATCAAGCTAACGGATATGATATGAAATTACGAAACCGGCTAGTTCGAGTTCGAATTTTTCAAAGTGGATCAATTTTCAAAGAGATGGGGATATATCTTGTAGATGAATGTCGAGTAGAACAAGTGAATATCGAAGACGATAAATAACCAACCTGATTTGTATGAACTAAATTAGCAGTTGAATGAAATGTTTTGTAAAGATTTATCCAATTTGAAGATAGCTATGGTTACAAATTGGGAGAGCAAGGCCAGTATTCCGTTGATTGAAGAACATCTGGAAAACTAAAGAACTGTCAGGCAACATTAGTCAGAATTTTCAATACAAATGCTAAGACAATCCTATTGTATGGAGTTAAGACTTGGAGAACTACTACAACCATTGTCCAAGAAGTACAGGTATTTATAAACAGTTGTCTATGCAAGATACTCTAAATCAGCTGACTAAACACCATCAGCGACAACCAAATGTGGAAGAAGACAAGCCAACTTCCAGCTGAAGAGAAAATTAGGAAAAGTTGCTGTACGCATTACGGAAACCATCAAATTGCACAACGAGGCAAGCCCAAACTTAAAATCCTGAAGATAGTAGCGAAAAAGACGGACCAAAGAACACATTACGCCTGGAACTGGAGGCGGATATGAAAATAAATTGCACTTGGTAATAATTGGAAAAGAGATCCCAGATCAGAGTAGGTTAGAGGATCCTAACTGGCGTTCTATGCTCCACAAGAGGTAATAGGTGTGCGTAAGTAATGGTTACGAAGAGAAGCCAGAAGAGGAATTCTTATAAGTTGATTGGATATCGAACAACCCACTCCCCTCCTTGACACTACACGACAGGATTCTATGATAGGCACAGTATCATTCGAGACACAAAGGATGACTATATTTAAATTTTACTAGTCAGCCACTTCCTCACTTGTGATTGGTCTCATTCCACAGGTCACATACTTCCTACTTAAAAACTTTACTAAACCCATCTAAAACGAAATCACTAATAAAAGCGAAATTAATATTCAATAAAGTGATTTGCTGAATTTTAAAAGGGTAACCACCACTTTCGTTTTCTACTTAATTTTGACAGCATACGCTATACTGTCATTTTACTGATTCTACTAGAAATATAATTTTCAAGCAAATAAAGAACAAACTAACAAATAGATTCACTAACGCAAGGAAAATACTAGGCTATTATCCATAACTCTCCCAAAAGTACCACTAAAAACCATCTAATCATTGAGGAGTAGGGACTTATTGGTTAGAAAACCTTAACTTCCAATCAGTAGGTCAGTAGTTTAAACATTAGTTAACCTACATAGATTAGAACATCCAGGTAGAAGCTGTGTACAAAAGTATGTACTTGGTGAATGAGTCGCATTACGATTATTATAGAGATTTATAAACAAAGAATACCCATTTTAAACTATTACATGTTTATACCATTAAGAACATTAAGAAATGTATTTTATATATGTTGTTGAATAGCTTATCGATCAGTGTGAAGTATAGACTCCATTTAAAGCCTAATTTTAGTCACATGGTAACAAATTATCAGCTCAGATTAATAAAGATTATGATACAAGTAGCACACCTCAACTTACCCACTAGATTTCAGTCGCCAGCAGTAATGTCTTTAAAGTATAGAGCTAAGACACCAAGAACAACTTAAAGGAAGTCCGTGTGTGACTGGCCTTAAGCGATTGTCTCTTCCCTGCTTCGGTCTGGGAACCTAGGCGGTGTCATAGCACAGGCACAAATCAAGTGACTTGTGTGGCTAATACGTATTCGGTGCCCCTTTGTACCAATATTTACGTGTTCAAATAAATAATAAAATAATAATTGTCTCTTGAGCCCTGGGGTGACGCTTCAAAGTGGCTAAGACCGCCACTAGTTCAATTCTTTTTTAGGTACCTCAAGAGAAAGTATCCTCAGATGGTGTGGGCAATAGAAAAGTTATGACTGCTTGCATACTTCAAATAGCACTTGAGATCATGTTTAATGATAGTGAAAATACATCAAGAATGAAATTAATATATGGAGGTGTATAACTTAGTGATTATAGCACTCGACTTCCACGACCAGTAGGTAGGATTTGAAAACGCCTTCTTCGTGAGTGACTGTCTGGGCAAAAGAACGGCAGTGGAATTGAGTTTAAACTTGTGGCTTGCTGGTCAAAAGTTGAGTGCTTTAACCAGTTAGCTAACTATCCCGATTGAGTGTTAAAACGAAAATCAACAAACATTATCACAGTGCGATGGCAATTATAATTATTTTACTTAGCAACAAGCAGTTTTTATGTATAAAATTCCCAAAAGAATGTTGAATACTAGAACAGTGGTAGTGACTACTACGTAGCTTAGTAATTATATAGAAGCTTACTTTATGAATTTACGAACCATATCTACACACAGATCAGGTGAAATGAAACGACCTGGATGGCTGTGATAGATAATTCAACAAAAGTCGAACTCTGAGTAATTTACGGATCATATCAACTCCCAGCATATGACAAAGGTTAAACAATATTTATCATTCAGTTGTCCAGGTTAATACATATGAGTGTTTAAACTAAAATAAACATATTACACACTTTAGTTATCTAGATTGTCAAATTTTCTTTAAAGAACGAATGAGCAAAGAAAGATTCTCATTTCTACATAGTCGAACTATCAATACAGATAAATATATACGTATTGTGAAATTACCTCTTGTTCGGAAATTTCAAGAGCCTTCATGTTATTACCAACAACTCGTAGTTCCTCTTCCAATTCTACTATTTTGCTTAAATTTGAGAGGGAAAAATTTATGATGGTTAATTATATAGCATTCCTATATTGGTTTGAAAGAGGTGTAGGATGCAGAAGCATATATTTGTCGATGTATATGTGATAAACAATCACGCAAACTAATCATGCAATACTACATATCATACAAACTTTCATACAAGTCAAAAACAAACAGCAGTCAAAAAAAAGGTTGCAAGAAAGTATTGACAGACAAGTTTAGTTAAATAAAATGGTAAAAGAAAAGCTAACTAAAAAGAAGTCTGGCAAAGTAAGTTATATTCACATGAATATGATGTACTATCTAAAGAAATGGTAAAAGAAAAGTGGAGAAAAAAACTAATGATGTAAAAAGGATCGGATTATGTTATTTAAAGTTATATATATATATATAGTGACAGACGGTATTTGAACAATTAGATCTTGTTAGTTAGATTGTTTTAAATATTTTTAGTGTCATGTTTCACTTATTGTGATTGTTAAACTAAACTTTGTCACATGAAAATCTAAGTGTTAGTCAGTAACAACGTAGAACTCCTTACGTACATGCATCATTTCGAGTTGCCACACCACATTAGCACAGAGATTTAGTTGTCGATTCATATCCCGTAGTGGTAGAAGTAGTAAAATTATAAGCAATAATCAGAAAGATTAGGGTTTGAAGATGTTATTCAAGGAGTATAATACAGTGAAATAAATTTAGAAAGAGAAAAAAAGAAGGGACATGAAGAATTCAGAAGATTAGAATTCGGGAGAACACGAAGAGTAGATGCACCTGCGCCATTGCAAACGACTTTGAGCCATGTCATTCAAGGTCTCTAACCATCGGTTGCTATCGTCTCGCGGATCCCAACCACGTAGTCTACACCTATCAATATGACTCAGTCCACTTGTCAGTGAATTCATGGATTTATACCATGTTTTGGTCTGGCCACCCCTAGCTTTCTTCCAACCTACTCCTACACCGTAAAACATCGCAAGTCGGGGTAGTCGGTAGTTGGGCATACGTAACACGTGTCCCAGCTATCTCAACTGATGACGTTTCACTACTTCATCAATTGATTTGCCATCCTTACCTAGTACCCGTTTCTTAACAACTACATTACTTACCCGGTGGTCTCAGGATATACGAGTAATGAAAATCTAAGTGTATTTAATCCGGACAAATAAATTACTAAAACCAATTTTCAATAATTTGCACTTACAATACAGATGAGTATATGTAAATTTTAAGAATTATTTGTCAGTAGTATCTATTCATGTGCATATTTCTTCTATCTGGATGATTTCAATTGAAATAGTGAATATTATAAGTTGAAGTGTATTTTCCACAATTAAAGATCCAAGTATGCTACATCAATGATCTTTGTTTCAAAATAATTCAATGTAACTTAGTGAAAAAATATCAGATTAATGATCTGAGATTTAGATTATAGCATATTTTGTACGAGAATGCTAGTGACATGAGTTGGCTACTTTAAACGAAGTAGGTGGAGCAAAGTTTGAAAGTAGAACTCAAAGATTGAAAATTGGTTGCTTTAGTTATTATTCTATCTTACGAAGACGGTATAACACTACTATTTTGTTCGAGTAAATTGTTGGGATCGGTTTATACATCTTGAATACTGGGTTAAAAATTTAAGACATGTCTAGTTACATAACTAATATTGCCAATAGGAGTTGTAATTTCCATAAGATTTATGCATGTAAATTTACTAGGAAAACTTTCTATTAGATTAAAAAATGAGGATACATTTTAACTGAGTTAGTAAACAAAATATCGCCATTGATACGAGTCGACAAAATAAAATAAAGTTGACGTTGACTGTCATCATGGATAGCTACCAGTTGAAGAACCGCCGAAGATGCATTGTACGGTCTTTTTCTTTCCAAATGGAAGCTCTTAAGAATTGCAAACTTACACAAAGCCAACATTAGACTTTTACATAAGCACAACACAGTTCAATCAAGAAGAAATAGCTATCTAGCGCTCGACAGTTCTAAATTCATGTATATAATGTCCGAACACGGTGGTAAGCCATCTTTACAAAACTACTGTAGGCTACATTAAAACTTGACATGAAAAGAATTAATGTATATACCTGTTCTTTTTTAATCTCCATAGATTTCCATTTACCTGCCAAACCCCTTAGAGTATTCTCCAGTTCAGTGACGAGTCTACAGAGGAAAAACACGAGGCTGGTAAAATGAAGATTTTGAATGAGTAAAATCAATTTTGTGAAGATAGCACTGAGGGGAAATTAGTCTCTACTATAAATCATGGTGATTTTAAACAATATTATTAACACTGATGGGACTAGAATCTAGCTTTTCGTATATCAAGAAAGTTATATGCACCATAACAATTAGTATTATTCTTTTTCCATTCCCTCTTATTATTTAAATCGTCATAGTTTTAAGATTGGTTTCTTATTTCCAAAAAGAGATTTGTGTACAGAAACGAAAACAAAAGGAATATGATTACATTTGTGTTGAGATATTCAGAAAAATATCCCAAAAATTATTTTGTTAAGTCTAACGCTATCCTTGGACTTGAGATGGTGTCATTTCCTTATTGGTCAATGTTTATTTCACATGTCATCTTCCTACTGGTCAATATTGTACAATGTTATTTTCTATTTTATGGTACGATGTGGTCTGCTTGACTGGTATATAAACAAAGTATGTTTGAAATATAACGATTCATATCTCCGAGGCTGAGACTTGCGTTCTGGACTCAACTGGCTAGGCTAGACAGGGAAGCGGGACCAATCAGAACCCTAGGCCGTTCTTACATGTTTGTGCGTCTTTGGTCCGATCGACAATTCGCTGTCCTCTGATCTGCAGCATCACAGTTATAGCAATTTGAAAGTAAAATCAGCAAAATTATGATTATCTAACGACTTCTATTTACAGAATAGGAAAATCAATCATCGGATATATATGACCGAAATTTGAACAGAATCGTATTTTTAGACAGAGTATGACCAAAGTTATTATGCCACGTATATTTGTAATAACTTCACATTGTAAATGATAAGATATTAAATAGATGGGAAGCAGCTAAAATAAACAGTTATGGGATCTTCTTCAAGTTGTAGTTCAACTGACTATGAAATAACTGCTTCATCACAGGTCTAGGAATTAGAGATATTTGTCTTGCATTGTTTACCTTGATCACATCGTTAAGATCAGATAAAAAGATATACCTTACAATCTGTGATTATTGGTGATTGACACTTCTAGCTATTAACTTTTTAAGGTCATTCGATCTAAGATAACTAGGAAGAGAAAAGTAAAAATTAGCAATGTAACCTCGCAGTCTAAGATAGAAATGGCGATATTATGTATGGATTTTTTGAGAATTTACCACTACGTCGAGTTTATACTTTGAAATTTTCACTTCAATAACGATAAATCCATCAAGCAACATTTTTTAGCGCGCTGACGTTGCACCAAGAAACAGTCAACGGCATTTGTAATATCCCGATGAGTAGAAAAATTAGATTTTCTGACATCTCGTGACTCAGTGTAATCTAAGTCTAACCTCGGATTAATTTTGATTTGGTTATTTATTCTCTGAAGAGATGGCTTAAACTGAGTCAAGAAACGTTAGAAAACCTAATTTTTCTACTCATTGGGATATTACAAATATATTATTTTATTTATAACAGTCTACCCAATTCTCAATTTATTCGAAATTTTCAAATCGAACCTTGATAATGATACCTAGTTAACAACATTACTTTCCTTTTAGACGTGACGTTTGCTGCTATAATACTTTCTTGGTGTGGATACGACCTTACGGAACAAGAATCTCAAGCAACTTAGAAGTAACAAAATAAACAACTTACAACGGATTGAAAAACAACTGAACACAAACTTACTCTTCGGATTTAGCCATGCGTGTTTCAGCTTCAGCTAAATTCTTCTCAGTTAAGGCCAGTGTACAAGAGATCTTCAGGTGATTTGAACAAATTCACAGGCAGTTATAATAAAGTGCAGATTATGGTAACGGAGTGGAAGACATTTTTAATACGAAACAAAGAGAAAGACATGCGGTTAATAAATGCACAAAAACTACAAATACTTAACACGAATAGTAATAATAATTTCAAGACAGTTGTTGACGTTTATTTAAACACAATAAAACCATGCAGCATAATGGACGATGCATGAAATACGTTGTTTGCTTGTTATGCATATATGTGTTTCTGGCTACCTTTCTGCAGCTTCGAGACGAGCTTCCGCACGCTCAAAATCAACTTCTGCAATAGCTAATTTACGTGCAGCCTAAAAAGGGAGAGAAAATAGCATCAAATAGGGCTTGCAATCGTGATAAACAAATAAATATATCAAAACACAAATGTAACTGTATAATTTTAATAATACCAATGAATATTAACTCATCTATTAATGTGATTACGACATATGGTCAGGGTTCAACCCATGGTCCATAAAACTTATTTATACTCTTGGTGGCCTGAGCGCTACAACATGGCGATTAATCCATCAATAAAGAGAAAAATGGCATCTTTGAGGACTAGATAGGTATTTTTTCTGATTAACGGCAGGAAAAAAATAGGGATGCGGAAATAGCTTAAATGTGTTTACGTACTAAGCTTTTAAATAATGACTGGTTGGTTAAGGTCCTGCTCTATCCACGACGATTTGGGTAGCCAGGTAATATTATTGGGGTCTACGGGAGCGGTTAGGTTTAGAAACAAATCTAATAACTAATACATCGTTGCTTTAATTCATGATATTAATGCTAATTAATAAAGATTTAATGGGTCCCGAACACGATCAAGGAAAATCACAGTTGGAAAAAAGAGTTTAGCCTTACAAACTAGTGGCAAATAGATGGAGGACAACCGTTCATGTGATTAAAAGGATACTGATAATCAGTATTATCGCTTGTACAACAATATATTTCTTATAAAGACTGTAGTTAACTATATTATTGCCACATAAGATGTCCGGTATTAATCTTTGAGAACAAGCGATAAAAACGTAACACAGAATGATTTGAAAAGTCTAATCAGACTCGGGTGTTTTAGAAGCTTAAAATTTATTTTAAGTTTTATTCAAGTGATAAAATTAACCTTCTAAAGTTATTATAGATTGAGTTGTACATTGTCCGTCGTACGAAATCACAAAATATGTTTAAATTGTGGTAAAAAAAGGCTAGGTAATGATGTCAGTCACTTAAATGAGTGTAGGAAAAGTAAGTAACATTGCTAAATATCAAACAGATGACCAGCTTTCATTATATAAGCTCAGTAAAAAATGATGGTTTTTATCAATGTTTGATTTGTGAGAAAACGGTTTTTGTAGACCTCGTTGTAACATGGCTCCACAACGACTGAAGAGTTTTTCCATACATATTTGAGCCAGAACCAAAGTGTGCATGATCTCACTCTAAGTTGTCTACCGGGTACAGATTAGTGTAGTTGGCCTTGGGCAGAACATAACAGTTGTTTTGACGTATGAAGCCAAATACTTTTAACATACAAATGTGGCTTTCAGACTAATGTAATTACATGTGTAGTCGATAAATGGTGGCTTGAAGTGCAGTTTACTTACTTTATTGTGAATAACATTAATGGATCAGAAAGTCTAAAAGATACAGGTACCTCTACTGATTAACTAACTAATCTTACGTACTATAGTGGTGAAACATCCATTTAACTACTAACTTTCAGTGACATAGTTCATCTAGTAACTTCAACCAAACAAAAAAAGTGTAGAGATAGGATACATTGTGTATGCTCAATTTACTACACTTTATGACGAAACGGAAGTCGGATATTAACACGAACGGAAAGATATTAGAATCAGTAAGAAGAGATGAAAAACGGATAATGAAATATTTTGGATTCACAGGAAAGAGAAATTCATCTACACCACTGCGATCGATTTGAAACCGTGATGCCTGTCATATTTAATAGCTGATATCTATCACTTTGAAGATCTTAATTAGGACGTATATACTTGTCTACACGACAGTTACTTCACGGACAGACAGGATGTTTTGATCTGAACTGTGACTATAATTGAGATGAGACTCCAGGTCGTAGCAGATGATCGGTTGGGATGTGAAGCAATAATAAGTCGTGGTCAGTGCAGACTTACAGCTAGTCGACTAACATTCCTTGCATTTAAAATTGCACCTGAAACTAATATTATTTAGTGAAATATTTCACTAAATTTCAGGCACTATTGAAAAGATACCTGTGACTGGATATCAATGATGTATATATACACATTTTTTAATGCCTCTAATAACTTCCCATATGCTTTGCCGACGCCACGGATGGTGTTGGCTGACAAATAAATCTATTATACCGTGAGGCTTCATCAGCGAACAGCCCACCAAGGTTGATGTAACACTAAGATTTTCCTGCTCTTATACTATTAAACCAGATATCATTAAAAACCATGCTTATAATACCCAGTTCGCCATCTCTACAACACAAAGAATATATGCCTCATAAAGTATCCAGGACTCACCTCGTCATATTTACGGTCTGCATCCTCGGCAATATACTTGGCTTCTTTTTGTTGATCCTCCAGTTGGTTAAGCCGCTCATCATCAGCAATCGAACGAATCTCAAGGTCTTTTCGTCCACTATGTGCAGGTTATTAAATTAAAGAAAGTGTGGGATTAATATATAGACATTTAAAAACCTAACAAATCTTCTAAAATCTCTACCTCTTTATATTTCTTATCAGTTTCCTTAGCAGCTTCTGTTGCGTCCTCGACAGCTTTCTGTAGCTGCTCTACTTTCTTGTCGTACGTGTCCATTTTATTTTGAACTTGACGCCACGCACTGCATGCATACATGCAAAAAATTACGTTAAAATTATGCATGCGAAAAAGGTGAACAAGTGAGAATACTTGCCACGAACGCTTACCGTTCACTTTCCTCTGCAGTTTTACTTGCTTCCTCTAACTTGGTCAATGTTTCAGTTAGACGGCTTGAAGAAACTTCAAGATCTTCCTCTAACAAACGAATTCTACGAGTCATCGCTGCCACTTCAGCTTCAGCCTGAAAAAGCGACAAAGAGCAAACTATAAAATGTGCCAAATAACAATGTGTACACGGGGTACACAAGCTAAAAAATAATTAAAAAATTGGCTTGTAAAGTTCAACATCAAACTTTGATTAGAAATTAACAAGTACGTACCAAGAATGGTACTCTCATGTACCCATGTTGTAGAAACCACTAATTCATAGTATTCCTCTTTGAGAATGGAGGGTTGTACATTTGCGTTAGTTCTTTTATCAGTAGGTTTAATTAGTGTATCCTACATTTTCTTGAACAATCTACTAAAAAACACTAATAACTTTTGACACGTTACATGCTTAGAAAAGTTTTTAGATCGGAATAACAGTACCGTGGACGAGATTGATCAAATAGTAAGGCTAGACTATATGTTTAAGATATTATGAATTGTTATACATAAATAATTTCGAAAGCCTATGGAGATGTCATGACTTTTCAGTATCCTAATTGCAGTAGCTAACGTTAGCAAAGACCAGAGAACAAAAACAGAAGCGCATTGGACTTATTTTAATTGAGAATCATAGTAATAATATATTACATTTCTCAATATATCACTGTCTACAGTTACCATTCATACCTTTTCACGCAAGGCTGTCTCTTGTCTCAGTATTTCATCTTCTGCGATAACATCAAACTGTAATTTTTCTAACTCGGTCTGCATCTCCTTGATTTTCTTCTTAACGACAGTCGCAACATTTGATTCACCCATCATTGCTATAAATGTAGCGCGACAGACAAGTGTACCTCTTTACCCAGCCTTGAGATGTCTAAAGGTTTTTAATGTTAAATAAATTGTCGAGACACTAAAAATTTGATTCAACACTTTTTAAGGCATGTTTGAGCAACCAATCTAATCAGAAATTAGCTTTAGTATGATGTAGATAGTGCTTGACTTTTTCAGGGATATTAGACAGAGTACACCGGTAAACAAGTATCCACCGACGTGGGAATCTGTAGACAATAGAGTCCTTCAATGTAAAAGTCTTGCTGGTGTCTTCATTTGCTTTATTTAAATATATCCTCGAAGGTAGCAAAGTCATTTGTCTTACTCCCTGCTGATGACAAAGATTTTGAGACCCATGGACTATATATATAAAAAATGATGCTTTTACAAAGCAACCAACATTTAATAGTGGAATTAATGTATGGGTTGTCAAAGAAATGATTCTATGGAGAAAGTTACGATGCAATTGAATGACACAACAAGCGAGGTGCTGCAACCTAAAGTAATGAATTATAAAGATTTAGGGGTCATAATAAGCAACGACCTTTAAGTGAAGGGTAACTGTAAGACTGCTGCTGCTGAAGGCTTCAGGAACTTGTAGGCAACTTATAAGCCATTACATTATTTTGACGAAGGAATGTTTAAGGTTTTGTGCTCAAATTCCATCTGTCTGCATCTCGAATATGGGTTACAGGCAGTGAGTCCTTGTTTTAAGTATGAGATTGATATGATAGAATAAGTTCAACAGCGAGGAACCAAAATATCGAAAGGCCTCTCTGACACATCTTAAGAGGACAGAACTAGGATAGCTCAACCTACTTCTTCTATATTACCACAGGTTATGGGATGATCTAATACGATGATTTTGGTATCACCATATCATTTCTTTTTCCTTTACTTAGAATTGATTCTCTGAGAGAACGTTTGTATAAAGCTCAAAAACTGAGACCCAATAGTTTATGTCTAGGGTTCCGTTTCCTGCACCGGGTACTGAATTGGTGGAAATCTTTACCACAACACGTAATACCAGCACCTTCTGTTAATACATTCAAAAGGAGATATGATCATTACAGTACTACAAATTGCAGTGATTAACATAAGTTGATTGACTTCCTTTCCTTACTGCTGAAGGCTAATATCAACCAGATGATTATTTCCACGGAATCTTTTTCAGGATAACCATATGTAACATGTAAGGAATGTGGATGCTTGATCATTTAAATGATATTATTTTAATTTAAACCTTGAGCAAAATAGTTTTAAATGACAGTAAGTTTATAAAAACTTAGGATGATTGATTAAGGGTTGACTGAAAACATCTAAGCAAATATCAAGACAGTAACGCTTAAGTATTCACTCACTTCCTTACTATGTATGGAGATTATATCTCCTATTATTTCATGTTGAACGTTGAAAGCTTTGTGTGTTTGAAGAGGTAATATTGCACTCCACTGTGTGCTGTCACACGATCTAAATAAAGAACTATTCGTTGCTGGTCTGGTTCCTATCAATAGAACGAGGTGTAACCACCGGAGCAAAAAGTATGTCTTACAACAGAACACAACTTATGAATTTAATTGTTGATCACCCAGAAATATAAGCAGTTGTTCAGTGTATTTTCAGAAGCACGAACTGTCGAAAAATTACTAAAACGATGGACGAACATCACAACTAAACCACACACTACATTGGATGACTCTACTGCTATTTTAGTAAATTTCAATCAATGGTTATTACTTGATGACCAGCAACTATAAACATCCCAACTATATGGGAAGTCAATTGCAGACAGATTAGCTCAGTGGTGACGTCTGGTAACGATAGTGAAGCTTGGTGGAGAGTCTCCGAACCCCACATGCAACAACAGTTCCCTTATGATTATAGGTTAGCCTTACTGAGGAGTGCCAACTAGCACGATACATAAGTTCGGGGGTTCCTACTGATTATTTGGAATCAGTTAAAACATAGTGTGTTGTTCTAGTGATTACTGTGAATTATTTCACACTAACAATCTTCTGAAGCATGGAGTTATGCACAGTATAAATAAAAAAGAAATCATTCTACTTAATTGTCGCAGGTTTACAATCTCATTTACTCACGTAGCCGAACCTCCCAGTTTTTGCAAACTGCTTAAGCTCAATAGTCTCACTTTAAAGTCTGTAGCTATAACCATTTACGGTGGTAGATTATTCTCACTGTAACTAAATTCTATGTGAATTTATGTAGATTTTTTGTCGAACTATTTGTTCCATGAAGACACATAAACAAGGAATAAGCATGATGATGTAATAAAAAATAATGATACTAGATTTAAGAAAAGGTTTTCAAATGTATATACGATTATACAGCTTGATGATAAATTCGTTGCAAATAGATCCTTCTACCGAATGTCGTTTTATTTATCTTTTAGTACTTGACATTTAATGACCTATTGAAAGCCCATTGATGCCAAGAGAGTGCATATAATTATTATTGTCAAAGTGTTAGTTTATTTTTTAATGATGAAACACATTATTCCTAAATCTCGACATCATTCTTAGCATTTCTTCGAATGCTTAAACTTGAATTTAATGAAATCTTAATTGAAAGTTGCTTTCTCACTCCTTTTAGTCACGGTGTAGTAATAATATTTACAAACTCTATCATAACCTATTTGCTAAGTAACAATTTATATACTTGATCTTGAATTACACTTCAGGTATAAAAGTTGGTTGCACTAATGAAATGCTTAAAGATGATTGAATCAAGTTGAACTCCAACTTGTGACCGAAAGGTTGGCACCACTAGTTCATTTGCAATCATAATAACCAGTCACTGAAACATCTTCATATGTATCCAAATAACAATCATTTATATATTACATAGTTAAAAGTTGTTATCAACTTACATTAGTAGCACGTTTGTCAGTTTCCTCTAATTTATTCATTTGTTCTTGTAATGTTTCTTGTACTTCATCACAATCAATTTGTGCTTGTTTCATTTTAGTATTTAATTCAGCAATTTCACTTTCACGTTTTTCACGTTCTTCTTCTTTCTTTTTAAGTAATTCTTCATATTGTACTGCTCTAAATAATAAATAAAATGAAAAATTTTTTAACAAAATGAATAAAGACTTTATATCTTAAGAACAATTTTAATTGTTGCTATGTCCAAGTGATTACTTAGTCCAAAACATTCAATGAATAGAAAAAAAATGTTTTTTTTTCATAATAAAATTAATGAAAATATAACATTTCATCATGTAGAAAGATGAATTTTCTATTCATTTAAAATTATCAGAAGGGATTTTGTGGGGATTTTAGAAATTTCACTGATTGAAATCATGAGTCAATTGAAGTTAGACCACCACAGAAAACCTGGAAGCAGTAGACGGTCGTTTCGTCCTAGTATGGGACTCCTCAACAGTGCGCATCCACGATCTCGCACCCCGCGAGATTCGAACCCAGGACCTATCAGTCTCGCGCCAGGCAATTAACCAACTAGACCACTGAGCCGGCTGGCATCCAACGGTGTCAATATCTGACTTCAACTAATCTACGAAGTCGGGCCAGCATACACCATTGTCTTCAGTGAGTTAATATCTCACAACAGACCTGGTTGAACTCCACTGGTAACGGCTTCTCACTAGAACTCCAGGAAATACCTCTTGCAAACAATCACTAATGAGCAGATGATTATTATCAGAAGGAGCCATCCAGTGCTTCCAGGTTTTCCATGGTGGTCTAGCTTCAATTGACTCATTTAAAATTGTCAACTTAACTTCTAGTTAGTGATACTTGTAAACTTGCAATTAAATTTAGTCATTCATTGAAGTCTATAGATGATACAAATCAAAGTGAAAAACACTGTTTCAATCAATTTAGGTATCACTTTTTTTGTTTGGTAAAATTGAACATTAAAGGAACTTTTTCTTTAAAAAAAAGGTTTTAAATAATGTTTACGATCACCTTTATTGAATCCATTTGATATATGAACTAATTCTTTCTTCCTGTACTATGCCCTAATATACAATCTTTCATTCATATATTATCACCATTGAATTAACTACATCTATGAATTCAGTGTTCATCTTGTTGTGCTAATGAGGTATGGATCGATGTATATATGTGCCTGATCCTATGTTGTAGCTGACTGACTGACTGGTGATTATGATATGAAAACATTGTATATCTTTGCATATATATATATGAGTACGTGCTTATTTCGTATATGGAAAGATTTTAATATTAATAAGAATAATGATATCATTATCGGACGTTATCACTGAGCTAATCTAACTGTAACCGATCTCTCATATAGTTGGAACAACTACAGTTGCTGGTCATTAAGTTATAACTATTGATTGAAATTGACTAATATAGTAGTAGAGTTATTCAACACATATCAATTAGTTTCAACAACAAGTATATTACGCATTGTAATCATGTTATTTATAATAATGACATATTATTATTATTATTATTATTATTATTATTACACAACTAACCTTTCCATTGCATTCTCCTTCTCTAATTTCATTGCAATCATTTTCTTTTTAATTCCATCCATTCTTTTTTATTATTATTATTAAGACTTTTTCTTTTAGATAATGAAAACTAAAGTTACTTCTTATGGTTAATTCAGAATAGATCCTGTTATGAATTGAATTGAACTGAAGTGAACGTATCACTACAATGAATAATGAATGCTGTAACTGATTTCAATAATGAAAATAAATAGGATCAAATGGAATTTATAATAGTAATAAGAAGAAAAGAAATAATAATCAATTGTGCAACACATATACCCTAATGACATATTATTGTCAATTGGATACACAATGATTTTATAACCAATCAGAATAGGATTCAAGAAAATTCTTTTTCTGTATAAAGGTGGGGGGGGTGGAAGGAAAACACACAAAAAAGGGGGAATACAATCACCTATTTAGAGTTAAACAGAAATGATGATACCAATGATCGATGAAGATTCTTTTCTTTTAAGAAAAAAATAATTTACAAATTACCTATTTTTCTTTATCATCATAATCAATTGTTGATTGTATTTGCACTTCGATTGTGATGACCTTGGGATTTAAATAATGTGTAGGGTAGAATGTATGATCCACCCACTCAAATATCTATTTCTTTAAATATATATCAATATATACATATATAGGTGTGAACGCACATACGTGTGTGTGTGTGTATAGACACATATAAACAATTGGGAAAATGTTGAATGATTACTTCTGATAAGATAATCAATTTCATGTAATTTTAATATAACCTAAATTGATAGAAAATTAGGTAATAGGAAATGGGAATAAAATGAAATTGTTAGCCATTATCTATCTTTTGCTTGAACAATTTGTAGTTTAAGACTAAATTAAAGCGATCCCCGTACAAGATGTATATATGCCAATAAGTGACTTATCAGTTGTAGTCGTTAAACAATAACAGGAAGATACAAGTAAAACAATACCAAGTGAATTTAAACTTCATACTATTATTGCAAAATCAGGTGGCTATCAGGACTTAGTAGCTAGGTGGATAACGTGATGGCATTTGAAATGAACGGTACTGAGTTTGAGACCTAAAGTGAACATGAACTTTGAGATGCAGGTACATCCAGTTGATAAGTCCCAAATAGGAGGAAACGCGCATCACACTGGATTCCCCTACTAATCTTTGCTTAAACAGCTTGTGTCAGTCAGTCAGCTACAACGTAGGACTAGGCACATATATGCATCGGTCCAATTTGCCATACCTCATTAACGCAACAAGATGGACACCGGATTCATAAAAGTAGTTAATTCAGAAGTGGTAATATATAAAAGAAAGATTGCATATAAGGATATAATTGAGAAAGAAAGAATTAGTTAGTAGAAAGAAAGATATGAAGCGATTTTAATCTCTTAGTTTAAGGGAAGATGGAGAGTGTACACACCGACGCCATTGTGATCGACTGTGAATCATGTCACACAAAGTCTCCAATCATTGGTTACGATAGTCACGCGAATCCCAACCAATTAGTCTGCATCTACCAACATGGCTCAGACTAGAAGTTAGTGACTTCAAGCACTGATGCCACGTTTTGGTTTGGCCGCACCTAACTTTCTTCCAACCATCCCGAACACCGGTTAGCATTGCACGTCGTGGTAATCGATGTTCAGGCATACATAACACGTGGCCCGACCATCTGAGTCGATGAAGATTCACAACGTCATCAACTGATTTACCATCATTCCTAATGCCCTGCGTTTAACCTCACTATTACTTACCCGGTGATCCCATCAGACGCTAGCCTGTGACTTAAGGATATATTGAGGCAATCCCCGCACACGATATACATATAACAATGCGGTGATACCAGTAAAACGACACATAAGTGAATGTAATTGAAATAATTGATAGATTTAATAGATCAAGAATATTTTAGATGTATTTTCCACTATGGTCATCTTTTTTTCAGATTCAAAATGTGATTACTTAAGGTAAAAGAATTCATATAAATTAAAATTGATGAAGTAACCATTCACTTTATTAAATCATTCTTCTAATCTTCTTATAACTGATAAGAATCCACCATGAATCTGTGCATTAACATAATATAATATACTGACTATGTCTATGTATCTTTATGATTCTTAAAACAATAGTTCGTATTTAAGTTGAAACAATTTTAATAAGTAGTAAATTAGTGAACATATTACCCTTGTGGAAAGTTCAAAGCAGATATTCTGTTTTTACTTTATAGCCATCTACTTCCCCTTCCAACTTCTCCTAAAATCATCTACCCTCAACTGTTTTATTTCTCTTCCTATGATCCTGCTGATTATATTTAATATCAATTTCAAAATTATATCTTGTCATGCTGAGTCGTCCTTTACTTACTTATTTACGCCTGTTACTCCTCATGGAGGAGTATAGGCCGCCAATCAGCATTCTCCATCGAACTATGTCCTCGGCTATCCGTTCCAGCTGTTTCCAGTTGCTGCTCATCCTTTTCATGTCTACTTCCGATTACCGACGCATCGTGTTCATTGGCCTTCATCTGTCCCGTTCCCCTTCACGATTCCAATTTAGCTCTTGCTTTGTGATACAGTTTGATAATTTCCTTAATATATGTCCTATCCACTCCCAACGTCTTTTCCTAATTTCCTAATCAGCTCGAAGCTAGTTTGTTCTCTCCCACAGTAAACTGTTGTTGATGGTATTCGACCAACAGATATTGAGTATCTTGTGTAGACAATTGTTTAGAAATAAATGTAATATTTTGATGATGGTTGTAGTAGCTCTCCAAGTTTCATCTAGTTATAGTAGAACTGTCTCGATGGTCATGTTGAAGATTGTGACTTTGATGTTGGTTGACAGTTATTTTGAGTTCCATATGTTCTTCGATTGTAGGAATGCTCTTCTTACTTTGCTAACCCTTACATTTTCGTCTGTATCAAATCCTCCATGTTCATCGATGATACTGTTTGGGTAAATGAAAGTTTCCACCTCTTCTCCATCAAGCGTGATTGGGTTGGTGTTTCCCGTGTTTTATTTGAGGATCTTGGTTTTTCTCTTGGGACTGTTGAGGCCTATTAATGCAGAGGCTGCTTCTGCTACCGTTTTACCAACGATGATTTCCCTATCTGTCTTTTGATGAATATTTGAACTATTAAGAATCAAACGATTATTAGTTTCCCTGTTTAAAAATTTTTTCAATAACTTTGTTTATTCTACCTCCCTTTCACTATGTCTAACAAAAGTTTATTATCATTCTAAAAAAAATAAGTATATATATATTGGCGATTGTACAGCTTTGAAAATGAATTCCCCGAACCGATTTTTCTTATTTACTGTCCTGATAGATGTAATCCGTTTAACTAATATTCTAATTGGTATCTAATCTTCAGCTACATATATCACTTTGTGGAGTTCGTGTTGGTACAACACAGGATGCACCGATCAAATTACACTTGATGGAGCTTTGGAGGATGTAAACACATTTACATATCTACGCAGCATCATTGATGAACATGGTGGATCTGATGCAGATGTGAAGGAGCGAATCGGCAAAGTAAGAGCAGCATGTCGACAATTGACGAACACCTGGAAATCAATACAACTGTCTGTAAGTCAACACCAAAGTCAGAATTTTCAACACAAATGTCAAGACAGTTTTGCTGTATGGGGCGGAAACCTGGAGAACTACGAAAGCCATCATCCAGAAGATACAAGTGTTGATTAACAATTGTCTAGACAAAATACTTCGGCTCCGTTGACCAGATACTACCAGCAACAACTTGCTGTAGGGGCACTCAACTGCGTCACAAGCCAAACCCTCACTTGGAACCTCAAGTCCAAAGGAGAATAGGAAGAAGAAAGAACATATCGCGTCGAGAAATGGATATAGATATGCAAACAATGGACAAAAATTGGAGAGAAGTAGAAAGGAATGCCCGGGACAGAGTGGGTTGGAGAATCCTGGTCGGCGGCCTATGCTCCATTGGAAGTAACAGGTGTAAGTAATGCTGATTAAATGATATCCAAGTGTACAGTTTAATTTATAAACAACAGATTGATGAAAAAAAACATTCAAATTTTTCTGCAATTTTGTTCTCTTTATTCGTTTTTCGGATGTGTTATGTTCGTTTATTAAATGATACACGTAACGATTTTATTTTATCGTAATTCATTGTTCGACGGTAACATAAAATGTCTTATTTAATTGCTTTTCTTTATGATCAATCAGAGTTATCATGTTCAATCCGATTAACTTTTGCTGATTCTATCATGTAATTACAAAGAAAATTGATAGCTTATAAAGTGATTTTATTGATCAGTGATTATTATCAGAAGAGGTTTTGTGGAGATTTTAGAAATTTCACTGATTGAAATCATGAGTCAATTGAAGCTAGACCACCATGGAAAACCTGGACGGCCATTTCGTCCTAGTACGGGACGCCTAAGCAATGCGCACCCACGATCTCGCCCCCCCTGGTATCCAAACCCAGGACCCATCAGTCTTGCGGCAGGCGCCTAGCCAACTAGGCCACTGAGCCGTTCGGCATCCAACGTTGTTAATGTCCCATACTAGGACGAAACGGGCGTCCAGTGTTTCCAAGTTTTCCATGGTGGTCTAGCTTCAATTGACTCATGATTTCAATCAGTGATTAGTTTATTGAACCAATTATGTGATTAGAATTTGTTTTATTCTGAAACTTGTTAATTCGAATGAAACTATCCTTTCCGTTTTAAAAGGATTCTATTAAAATGATACGAATTCAAGTAGAATCAGATTTTTAAAAATGGTTACCAAGATGTAAGTAGGTAGTTAGAATCTCTTTTAGAAATATTTAATTACATATATAATTTTTCCTCAATACAAAATCATGTGAAAACACTTAGTCGGTTGGAAGAAAGACAGGAGCAGCTAAACTATCAAGTCATTTATTATTGAAATGAAGCATGTTAGTACCTGCCGACTACTTGGTTGGAGTTTAACAATTATCGTGACCAACATTTAGTGATAAAGAATATTGATTTCAATAGTGCAAATAAATCCACATTTTGCATTTCCTTTAGATCCTGAATTTCAAAATTATCTTTATTCTTTTTTTTTTCATTTATATTGTTTATGTCTAATAGTTTCTAATGTCAATGGTACTATTTGAATTTTACTACTCCAACATATATTCCGATAATTTTATTTAGTTGTGCTGATATGGTGTGGCGACATGAACCGACACATGTATGTTCCACGTTCTAGGTTACTTATGGCTGATTGATGTGAGAACGTTATAATAAGCGAGTA